GAGGTCTTATTATTGCAAATCTAACATCTCTGATATCCTTTGCAAAATCCGCAGCCAACCCAGACTTGTGCGAGAGAAGACGTAGCTATTCGTAATATGTTCGGTAAGGCTACGTGAGAACTACTTATATAATTTTGTAGGCATATACAAGATAAGGCGCTTGATTAGAGGAAAGTAATCAAAACCTTATGCTGCTCTTGTGCCAAAGTGTAGTCTTTTACAGACGATGCTAGCGGCTAATCTGGGTTATATAACAGAGTAGCTATTAATGCTGTGCTACATAATTGTTAGTTATGATATTCTTGTGAGAGGAACAGGCTTGCTGTTCCTATAGTAGCAGAGGTATCCGCTTCCGCACTTTATAGTAACAAGGTCAGAGATTCTCCGTAATTCTATACTAGCCACGTGACTGCGTTTCTATTTTGCCAACATAACAATCGTACTAATAGATAGTTTTTGTACTAGAGCTCGAAATTGCAAGAAAGATAAATATCGAATCTTGTAACAGTTTGTTACGTAGTAACCTGGCTAAATGCCCCGAAGGGGTATTAGGGCAGGGCTTCGCGCGCCTTGGCGCCCTGCGCCTTATCCTTCTACCCCTCCATAGCTGTTAGATAGCCTCAACCACTCCTTCACCACGATCATAACAGCTATATCAGAGCTCTAGTGACCAGGTGATACCCTCTGTTGCTTCTATAGCAGCACCATACCCCCATTACGGAGATATCCCGTAATACAGTTATCTCGTCCTATTAACAACAGACAGTGCCTGCCATTTTCTTCTCTGTTACAATATTAGTAATAAGGCGGCAAGGCAGCAAGATCACAATAGAATTCCTGAAAGATTCGAGTATATAAGCTCCATCTATAAATAAGTCGGCATGCCTAACTATCTCTAGGTTAGCACATTTAGAATATATACTGCTTTCAATAGCACAATTCTCACAGCATTAATTTGCATAACGTGCAGATTATCTATATAAGTAAGAATCAGATGTTCTAAGAAGTTGCGCAAAGAACTGGACAAAGTTTATCTTAACTTAGACAAGCAATTTAATATTAAGAACGTCAAGGTCTAGCCATAGAAAAGTATGCTGCCTAACTTTAGGATAAGGGGAACTTGAGTGATATACCAAGATTTAGATGGGGTGAGTCTAACGGCAAGCTGCAAATTTTAAGGGTCTCCTGGGCTGAGCTCAGGAATGAGGCAGTTCCGGACATAAAGGATCCCCTTTCCCCCTTTAGTTTAAATGACACTTTGCTAGTTATATTAAAACACGATATATTTATGATGCATAATCTCTTAATGATGATTGGATGCTACTATGAAGCTTAGTTTAACCAAATATTAAAAAGTGTATTATAGTAGATCCATCCTACTTATTCCAGAAACTATATACGCTATTTAGACAGGACTTCGATTTCGCATATCACTATACTGAGCAAGCGAACAAAATAATCTAATTAGGGGTTTATAAGCACTCTCTTTATAATAATAAGAAGCTAAAACGTGGCGCTATAACTTTATAAGGCGCTTCTAGCCCTATATCAGGGATACTTCCGCCCTTTACTATACTAGAGTTGTTGCATTTTCTTTTAGTAAGAGGTATTAAACACGCGCTCAGGTTTTCAAATCTGTCCTTCTTAATAATTGCCTAGAATGTTTATTATACTAATACTAGTAGTGCCTAGCTTAGACTTTCTGCTTATTCTTAATCCTTTCTTCTCTATTTACACTTTGTGCTTAATCTTAACCTATGCCCCCTTTTTCAAAGGCCTAATAGACTGACGTCTTTGTCTTACCCTTTTTTAAAGAACAAGTAAAATATAATGTGCTGGTAACAAGTCAAGACTTTAGCACGCTGGCCAGATTATAAGGGAGGATCTAGAGTCTGTAGCACTCATGATCCTGATCACGATTTCACTAAGAGATGCCCTAACGCAATTGCCAGTAGGACTCAGTGCCCAAATCTAACGCCCACTTCCCAGGCAAGTTTAACTAGGCGAAAGACCGACTGTCCAAATCATCGAAAACCCAAACCACAAAGCGACGATAGTGGTCATGGACCTGGTAGAGCTGGAGGAAGTGGCACTTTGGGAGCCAAGCTACAAGGGGTTCAAGTTAGGGGCTGATTCAATATTAAGCAAACACAAGATATAATTATAATTGTGACTAAGACCTAACAGACTATTAAGGCCTGTATGAAAGAAAAGACAGTATAGCTACTTAATCTATAGTAAAAGAATCTAAGACTACTAATAACTTGCGCACATTACGTAATACTCCTTTCGTCCAACATCTTTTAATAATAGAACTAAGCTATATATTGTCTGTAGTTAGGAGGTCTGTTCTGTAAGGCTAGGTAGCAGTGGCAAGCCTAAGGGGCTGATCTTTGAATAGATCAAAGCTATAAGGCTGTCTTGTAATAGCTTTATATATTACTGTACCTAGCTGGCTAATATTAGTATAAATAAAGTAGCTAGAATTATTAGCAGTCTATATATTAGTAAAGAGAAGCAAGATAAATAATTCTGAAAAATCTAACATCTTAACAGATTAATTAACGTCTATAAGGAAATTTCGAGTAATAATGTTAGTAATAATAACGCGCCTGTTATATATGTGTACAAGAGCTTAAGCTATGTCCTGGAACTAGCCTAGCAGGATTAACGCTAAAGGCTGGTTTTGTTTAAGGTAGTCCTATAAATTCTTATGTTCTATCAGAGCTAACTAAATACTAACACTAAATATATTAAGATAATTAATAATGCTATAGTGTTTACTTAGACGTTAGTAAACTCTTTTCTTGTTCTCTATTACCTTAACTGTAATATTGAACTTAATTTCATTCTGCTTTATATATAGTCTTGTTGTATAGTGCTTTAAGGGCAATTTAAGGGCAATGCCTTCTCTCTAAACCGTAACTTTAGTCCTACCTAGACTAAGAATACAGTTCTGCAGATGTGCCCTGTTAGGTTACAAGAGCATTAATATTAATGACATACTATCTTATAAGAGGGTAAGTGAAGAGCTAGTATATATACAGAATAAAAATATCTACAGAGGCATGCCCTAAAAGTTATTACATTATACTAGTATAAGGCTTTATTAGGAATAACTAGTATAATTTAGCTTAGACAGTCTACTAATAGTGTAGGTGTATCATCTCTAAGAAAGCTAGTATGAGCTACTAAAGCCTAAGTGCTTATTAGGTTCCTCTTTTAGTATTAGGTCCTTTATACTATAGGGGTTGTATTGCTAAGGCTAATCTAAGTGCACTTGTAAGTCTCGGCTACATATTTTGGATTAAGTAGCTTAGCTTAGTCTATAAATACTAGCTTATATCTTTAAATATTAATGTGTTGTAACAACTTTTGGGGTATACCTCTATATAGTAATATGCAAAACCGAAGTCCTGTTTAATATGCATAAAATTTCTTAGAGATATTAAGATGTATTAATAATAAATAGCGCTTACAGTTTTAAGTTTAGCTCTACGCACTATACCTATCTAATAAACTCTCTAGTTAAGGCTTTACAAAAACACTAGTATCACAATAAGAATAATATATTATTATTAGAAAGAATTTTGCTATGCTGAGATTTTGCTTAATCTAAGAGGCGCCTACGCTTTACTGCTTTATAGTCAGGCCAGTCCCTCTAAGAACTACCTAAAGCTTTAACGATCATTTTTCCACGTATGTGTAACATAATTTATAAAGCTCGTCTTCAATCAATAGTTATGTCCTATCAAGACTAGTATAGTATAGTCTAGCTCTTCCTTACAATCTTTAGATTTTCTATATTTCTCTCCTATATAAGTACTATATCTTATGCCCGGCTGATTTATCACTATAAGCCTTAGCGCTAATCTGTTTACTTAATCTCTACCAACGCATTATTTCCTTTTTTTATTTATTTAATAACTATAACTTGGACAACTCTGAAACTTTAATAGATCATTTTATAGCCTTAAAATCAGGTCATTAGGTCGTCAGACCAAAAAAACGTCAAAGATACAAGAAAATAATACATTAGCCCTAATCTTGCTTGAAGCATTACTAACGACTGCACAACATCCTATTAATAAGGGTATCCCTTAATTTTGGCCCTTGCAACGTCTATTATTTATTTATATAACTTTTAGAATGTCTATTATTATTCCCTTGCAATTATTTCTACTTCTACTTAGCAAGGGAACACTCTTAACAATTAACAGTACAACAAAAGCATATATTACTCTAATCATGACTAATCCTACTACTATAGGGTTTCATACTAGAGGCTTCTCTTTATTAGATCATCAATATTTGCTAAAACTATGCATATCTAACCTAAAAGACAACTCAGATGCATCAGAAGAGGAAGATACTCTATTAATAATTTATTGACTTACTTATTAACGAGATGTTAGGCTATATTCTATATACTCCAGCTATAGGTAACCCTTCAGAGCATTTCTGGGAACACCTAGAGAAGAAGAGGCAGTGTGCCTATCGCCTCAAAGTTAGAGGGGGGGTGTTCAGGGGTGTAGAAGGAAGGGGAGAGTTCTGCAGAAAATATCTGGTAATGCTAGACCAACTCTGAAGCCTTAGGAGGTTCTGACAGGTTATAAATGCTATAGAGTTGCTCTATGTATAGATAGGCCTTGTTTCCAGAGATATCATGCCATGAATACTACTGATTAGCATGGAATTGTAGAAATAATAGCAAAAGTTAAATAGTTTGAGGCGTGCTAAGGCCTGTTACGACAAATCAGTCAGGCATAAGATATGTGCTAGTAGCTAATGACAATTAAGCTGTAATGCTAACGTTACAATTAATATGTTGTATTACTGTAATACAACATTTATATAAGACACTTCAGGATCTACGTTAACAGAATTACTAAGTGGAACTCCTTTTAAAGACTGCTCTCATTGCGATTAGTGCTAAGAGCTATAATGCGTAATGGCTGTCAAAGATAAATGAATAAATAATGGTGTATTTTTGAACATGCTTAATGATCTATACTCTGCTTGTAGTTATGTAGTATTTGTACTACCTTCTTGTGACCACACTCTAATGCTGCCTGTAGTGCGTTACCGTAGTGTCCTCCTTGAGTGTTGACATTGGCACCTCGGTCCAGTAGTGTCTGCACCACCTTCTCGTGGCCACGCTCTGATGCCGTATATAATGCATTACTATAGTATCCTCCTTGAGCGTTGACATTAGCACCTTGGTCTAGTAGTGTCTGCACCACCTTCTCGTGGCCACGCTCTGATGCCGTATATAATGCATTACTATAGTATCCTCCTTGAGCGTTGACATTAGCACCTTGGTCTAGTAGTGTCTGCACCACCTTCTCGTGGCCACGCTCTGATGCCGTATATAATGCATTACTATAGTATCCTCCTTGAGCGTTGACATTAGCACCTTGGTCTAGTAGTGTCTGCACCACCTTCTCGTGGCCACGCTTTGATGCCATCTGTAGTATATTACTGTAGTATCCTCCTTGAGCATTGACATTAGCACCTCGGTCCAGTAGTGTCTGCACCACCTTCTCGTGGCCACGCTTTGATGTGCCGCCTGTAGTGCATTACCGTAATATCCTCCTTGAGCGTTGACATTAGCACCTCGGTCCAGTAGTGCTTGCACCACCTTCTCGTGGCCACGCTCTGATGCCATCTGTAGTGCGTTACCGTAGTGTCCTCCTTGAGCGTTGACATTGGCACCTCGGTCCAGTAGTGTCTGCACTACCTTCTCGTGGCCACGCTCTGATGCCATCTGTAGTGCGTTACCGTAGTGTCCTCCTTGAGCGTTGACATTGGCACCTCGGTCCAGTAGTGTCTGCACTACCTTCTCGTGGCCACGCTCTGATGCCATCTGTAGTGCGTTACCGTAGTGTCCTCCTTGAGCGTTGACATTGGCACCTCGGTCCAGTAGTGTCTGCACTACCTTCTCGTGGCCACGCTCTGATGCCATCTGTAGTGCGTTACCGTAGTGTCCTCCTTGAGCGTTGACATTGGCACCTCGGTCCAGTAGTTTCTGCACTACCTTCTCGTAGCTACGCTCTGATGCCGCCTGTAGTGCATTACCGTAGTGTCCTCCTTGAGCGTTGACATTGGCACCTCGGTCCAGTAGTTTCTGCACTACCTTCTCGTAGCTACGCTCTGATGCCGCCTGTAGTGCATTACCGTAGTGTCCTCCTTGAGCGTTGACATTGGCACCTCGGTCCAGTAGTTTCTGCACTACCTTCTCGTAGCTACGCTCTGATGCCGCCTGTAGTGCATTACCGTAGTGTCCTCCTTGAGCGTTGACATTGGCACCTCGGTCCAGTAGTTTCTGCACTACCTTCTCGTAGCTACGCTCTGATGCCATCTGTAGTACATTACTGTAGTATCCTCCTTGAGCGTTAACATCGGCACCTCGGTCTAGTAGTGTCTGCACCACCTTCTTGTGGTCATGCTTTAATGCCGCATATAATGCATTACCGTAGTATCCTCCTTGAGCGTTAACATCGGCACCTCGGTCTAGTAGTGTCTGCACCACCTTCTTGTGGTCATGCTTTAATGCCGCATATAATGCATTACCGTAGTATCCTCCTTGAGCGTTAACATCGGCACCTCGGTCTAGTAGTGTCTGCACCACCTTCTTGTGGTCATGCTTTAATGCCGCATATAATGCATTACCGTAGTATCCTCCCCTTGAGCGTTAACATCGGCACCTCGGTCCAATAGTGTCTGCACTACCTTCTCGTGGCCACGTTTTGATGCCGCCTGTAGTGCATTACCGTAGCGTCCTCCTTGAGCGTTAACGTAAGCACCCTTATCCAACAGCATCTGTACGATCTCCTAAGAGCCATGATATAATGACACCTGTAAGACAGACCCATAGGTTCCACAAATTGTATTAACAGGTGTCGATACGCTAAGTAATACTAGTAGTAAATTTGAGTATTGTTGTTCCGTAATAAAGTAGATTAAAGTCACGCCGGACATGACCTTCTTAGATTTGTAACGCTTAAGGACATTCCACTAGAGTCTGTGTAAGTCTAACCAGAGACCGTTCGCGTCGATTTGATTTTTTAAGAAAGCTAGCTAAGAGATATCATGCTTCTGTGCTTGTTCAGCGTGGTCAAAAAGATATGAAATCGCATAGTCAAGAAAGGGTAGTTTCAGGTGTATTTCAGATCTGAATATGTCTAAGGAGGCATTAGTCTTGTGACTAGCTTTATAATAATGTTCGTATTCTTTAGATATATTATTCATTAATATACAGCAGAAACAAGCTATCTGCAGGATTTCATGGCTGATACTAGTAACATTTGTGGCCAGAGCTCAGGATATTGATGCCAAGCCATTCTCTTTAAGTAGGAATTCGCGAACTGTCTTATATATAAATTAGACCATTACCGCTTATAACAGGGCAACTTTGACAGCTTTAACAAGACCGCGTGAACAGTTAAGGACAAATCTGGCAAGGCGATTAGGCGCAGGCACAAAGATCTCAGTAGGTAAAGTACGTATCAGGTTATCCGGCGATTTAGAGTATTCTATTATAATAAATAGTTCTGCCGGCTGAAGTGAACGCATGCAGAAAACCATTTACTAAAAGAAAAGCATGCTAGTTTTAATCCTGTTGTCACTCTTTATCAAGATCTCTTGAAATAGCTTGTTAAGACCTGCTAAAATGATTTTAAGCTGAGCTTTTATTTCTGATAAAGGTACTCTATGGTTATTGAGTTTATTTAATATCTATATAATAAGGACGACCTAAAGAAAGATCTAAGCTAATTTATTTAAAATCTCGGCTTAAAGGTTGTCCTTTTTAAGACTATTAAAGCACGTTAGTTCCTTTGTGATGTAATTATTAATATCCTAATTATGCTTAAGTTGATCTTTAATTACTAAGAAAAGTCTTTTAGTAATGCTAATATAAGAATAGTAATAACTCAAAAGACAGATGTAGAGTTTGCAAGAGCTGCTAAGGGCTAATACTTAATTAAAAAGTTATAGTAAAAAGCTGATTATTTGTCAGACATCATCCTTATACTTAGCCTTGTCAAGTACGTCAATTAATAGGCATAATCTAAATAACTTATTCGACTTAATAATATTATAAAGAAATTCTTGTAGTTCTTCTACAAACTAGTTCTCCCTTAATTGTTCTAGGTCTTTTAAAGTAAATTTTTCTGCAAATAAAGTTCGGATGCTTAGATACAAAGACAGAAGGTGATGCATAACTATATAGTACAAACCTAAACTTGACTTCTTAAGAGAAGCTGAAGCTTAGGCATTAAAGAAGTAAGGGACGATAGTTTGCTAGATATAGTTCTTGCTTTTTCGCCTATAAAGCTATTCAAAAAGAGTCTTTATAAGTGTCAACTTGCTATAGCCAGGTTTGCCCTTGATCTATAGAAAGCCGCTGTGTTAAGCTAAGTAGCTATTTTTATACTATATCCGAAAATACGGATGACGAAAGAGCCACTAGCAGATTGACAATAGTGCTTTCTTAACGTTATTAATACAAAAGTCAATTTGATTGAATAAGAGGGACTTAAGGAGGATATTATACTTGTTTTTGCTAATTATTATTAAATTATGTTCAGAACTCTGACCTAACTACTAGATATAGCCACCTATGATTTCTATATACGATATAATTATGTTGCTATATAAATAATTATTACTCAGCCCTGAGATGTTCATATTATATAATGTCTTGACACGTTTTGCAGGCCTTAGCTCACCTAATTATGAAACTTGTGCTGTTTAATTAATGTTAGCGGCTTGCTTAATAAAGTCATTAACATTATTAAGTAGCGCTAGTCTCTAGTATAATCCTAGTGATCTGACCTTATTAATAATACTAAGACGGCCAGCAATATTACTGCTATACTACTTATTAATCTCCTTCTTAAGCTAGTGGAACGCATTATCGCCCTCGCTATAAATAAGCAGTATAAACACGTTGAAAATTCTGAGTAGACAATATACTCCGTCCTTTGTCTCCCTAGTCTGGCGCTTTTTCGTCTAACGTATTTTTTTGTTAATCAGAAATTAAGCGAGAGGTATGCTATGCAGAGCAGCGAGAGGAAGGGTCGTGACCTCGTGGATTAGCTGTGCTAGCGTCTACTTTGTTTCTATAAAGTCTTCTTCCTGTGAGAAGAATTCAATAATGGCAGGGGCTAGAAGCTCTTGCAGCGTCTAGCCTTGTGTAAACCATCAGCTAATTCGTAAGCTTGATTCTCACATGCTTTGCACTTTACTAATATTATTACTCTTACAGACTAATACATTAGAAAGGTAGACATAGCACTTTTTGGCATTATAATACTAACTAAACATTAATATAATGGCTTTTGATAGCTTAACGTGGTTGTCTTTATTAATATAATATGTATCTACCCAAAAGTACTTAATCTTATCTTTTCTCGCTTATTCTCTATAAAATCAAATCTTTATATATCCTATCTTGCTCTGATTTTGACTCTTCTATATATTAGTAAAAGTGACTTTATTATAGTCTAAACCCCAGGTGTGAGAAAGGATTATATAGGGAGGAATGTTCTTGTCTAGATCATTAGTCAGGCTAAGCTTGTTCTGACTGCTTTATCTTAAGAGTTGTATTGCTATATTGTTATTAATAATTATGTTAGGTCTGTAAAAGGTACTTAGTAAATTATAATCTTTGTAACTTATAAATTCTTATACAACTGTACTATCTACTAAAGGTTAACTAAAGGACGGCCAGAAACGCTAAATTATTATAACCTAATCTGTGACTCTTACATCATGCTTAGTCTTATTAAAGTAGCTTTAAGATGTTCTAGCAAACAGGCAAATTGCGATAATTATGTAACTATTGCTAAGTGCTAAAGGCTACTGTTTATAAGATTACAGACAGACTCTGCTTTTATGTTAGAGCATAGTATCAAAGCACAAGATAGAAAGCAGAAGAGGTTTTAAATAACTATTATAATAGTGTAACAAGAGGTATAGTGACTTATAGGCTATAAGTGACTAAAGGCCTATTAGGTGTCCCTAACGTTCTAAGCGCTGTAGTAAGGCAGCTTTCTAAAGATTATAAACACATCTTTTAGGACTTTGATTTCGCACATAATTATACTATAGCGGACTTGACCTTTAGTTTGTAAGATTATAGTCATGAGTACGACATCAAAGATTAAGTATAAATAGAACAGGTTGCAAGTTTAACTCTTATAATATAATAAAGTTATTTTATACTATATTATTTAAGTATATACCAAAATACCTTATTAGCTTATTGTCTAAACATAGCAAGCGATCTGAAGTTGCCTGAGTCACTTCTTAAAGTATACGCTGTATATTAATAGATTTTGTGTATAGCGATAATAACGCCCTAGCCTATTCCTGTGTATAACAGACTTCCTGTCTGAGACGGCTATTCTCACGTACCAACTCTTTAATTCGCTAATATAAGTTAGAGGGTAGCTTCTTTGCCTTTTAATTATATAGAAGTCTCTTAGTTGTGGTTGTAAGACCGCCGGCAAAGGTAATATGATGGTTTACAGAACTAATCTCAGTTAGATTACAAGGTAAAGAATTCATTTTGCAGGACTAGATAATTAAAGTTTAAGAACCCTTTGAAGTATGCGAGGCAACCTGCACATAGGGTATTAAATAGCTGACTCCTAAGGAGAAATCCAGAAATATATGCTATTTTATATTTAGTTTATTAGCTAAGGAAATAGAATTTAAGGAGCACTAGTATATGTTTCAAGACTGCTAAGGTTTCTTGTTGTATTAGCTATAGAAAATCCTGAATCTCCTTGCCTTATTGATTTAGGCTTTCAAGTTCGAGATTATCTGTGATATTTATGCTAGGTTCTATTAATACTATTATAAAAGTACCTAATAACTTAACATTAGCCTTAAAATTTGTCTGTGTAAACAAGATTCCTTCTGCAATATTAGTTAAATCTTCTTAAGCTGCTACTTTTGCTACTAATAGGTAGAACTTACTAATTTTTATATTTTTATGTCTGGTTAATAGAATATTGTTAAGCAAGAGCCTTTTGTAAGAGAATTATAATTCTGAGTAAATATATTCTAAGCTCAGAATGATTTTATAATAGATTATTACTATTTCGAATTCTTTAAGCAGGCTATAAGGATAATATTAGATTTCCTTAAGGGAGACATCTATAGCCTTATAGATAAGAAATAGTTAAGAGTTCTTGGTATAAGTAGCATAAAGAGGTATTATCTGTAGGTGGCTGATTTTTAGCAGCCTTAAGGGCTTATTATTTGTCTTAAGTCTCTTCTCCTTTATAGTATATACAGGGAAATCTGGATGATTCTTATGCACTACTGTTACAGAGCTAGCTTGTTAGTCAGAAAAAATAGGAAAGTATTAACTCTATAGGCTTCCACTTTTGTAGAAGCTTATAAATAAATGCTTTACTAACGTTGTATTCCATTAGGAGGCGTAAGGATTAACTGGCAAGGGCAGCCTTAGGGGTAATAGGCTATTATTAACTTGACGTTTGAGTTTGGCTAGCTGTGTAAGCTACTATTAATCATGACTTGTAGGTTGTAAAGGCTGCCTTTAATCTATACTTGTAAGAAAGATAGTTTCTTGTCTTAACTTATTTGATAGTAATTTTATTTTGAGATAAAGATAAGTGAGAAAGAGTATTGTTGGTATACATATACGTAAAAACACTAATTTAAACCCTAAATACAAAAGCAGATAATATAGATTCGTAATTTCTAAAAATAAGTACCTTAGATTCTATTATACTTTTTGTGTTTATTTTGCTGGGGTTAGAATTAGTTCAGGCTAACATTTACCT